CCTGAGATGTTGTTGATGCCCAACATCTCTTCTGCTTTATTCCTTTGGCACCCTAGAGTTGAAGCTTTTAGTCCCTTGAACTGAAGCTGTTTGCTTTGTGGTAAGGGGGGGGTCTGGCGTTATTTTGTGTGCCCGGTGAGTGAAGATCTGGGGAGCAGAACATCTCTGGATCCAGCTGAACAAAGAAACCTACTGAGTGCCTGCCCTTGGAGTGGGAGAAATGGGTGTGATGACTCAGAGCAGCCGCTTCTCATTCAATTACAGTGAGTCAACACAGCTTTAAGGGGAAGTCATGACTCACAGATAGATTCAGATTCTTTGAAGGAGTTGACAAGCATGTGGCAGAGGGTGATCTAGCTGATATAACGCGCTGAGATGCCCCAAATTCTTTTAACGAGATTTCTCACCAAAGCTCATGCAGAAAGTGAGCTGTCATGAAGTAGAAGGGCTTCTGTTGGAAAGGGAGGTGGTACGGAGGAAGGATTTGATGGGAGAAAAGGCTCACAAGGGGAGTCTCACTGAGATCCATGCAAGGAATTGTGCTGTTTAAGGAGCACAAATGCTGAGATGACAAAGTTGGCTGGTGCCACAACACTGTTCAGGGTGGTCAAAATTAAAACTGACTGTGCAGAGGTGCAGGAGGATTTCATTATCCTGAGTGTCTGGAGGTTAAAACAGCAGATGCAGTTCACTGTTGACAAGGGCAAAGTAATGAACACAGGGAAAAGCAACTCCAGCTGTACACATAGAATAATGGGCTCTAAATTAGCTATTACCATGGAAGAAGATCTCAGAGTGACTGTGAATAGTCCTTCAAAAACGTCAGCACGAGATTCTGTGGAGGTCAAAAAGGCAACAAGAGCATTATGAGTTATTAAGAAAGGAATAGGTAGCGAAACAAACGCATGTTATGCGAGGGCACTAATCTTGGAGGCCTACATCCCATGCTGTGTGCAATTCCTGTCCACCCCATCTGAGAAAGGAGGTAGTATTAGAAGAGACTAGTAGAGTGGGAAGGATGAGCAGGGGCACAGAAAGGCTTCTTGAGGAATAGAGAATAGCAGAGAAAGACTCTGAAGCTTGTAAAAGAGATGTCTGATGGGGATATGGCACAGATTTCTAAAGTCATGAATGCCAAGGAGTAGATAGTCAATAGCTATCCTCTTGACACTGTTGTTCAAAACACATGAAGGAGGGAGGATCCAATGGCTGTATCAGGCAGCAGGTTTGAAACAAAGAGAAGGAAGTGCTTTTTCATCCAACAGATAATTAAACTATGGAACTCACTGACCAGGATGTTGTGGGTATTTATCCTAAGGGATAAATGGATTCAAAAAGCAATTAGATAACTTCCTGGATGAAGATCTCTCTAAGGCTATTAACCACTGTGATGTAAATACAACTCTGTAAATACTTGCCCTGCTTTTCATTCTCCTTCCCAAGCACTCGCTACAGACATCTGTCAGAGACAGGAGTCTGGGCTGCATGGGGCTTTGGTCAGATGCATTATGGACTCCTTTAGTCGTTGCCACCATGGCTACTAATGGACCCTGATGGCTTCCATCTGGGAGGCGTAGGGCCATCCTGTTCACTCATTTTCCAGCGAGGAGATGGATGGAAAGAGTAGGTGAAGGCTCTCATCTGAGACCTCAAAGGGATCCCATGAAAGAAGTCCAGGTGACTCTGTTACCTGATTCATCTCTGACACGCTAAAAATGGTCTTAGTCTCTTTCCTTCAACCTTCCTCTAAAGATAGTCTATTCACAGTGAAATACTGAAGAAATCATCTCTTTGGAAAAACCTTTGCTTCCTGCAGCCAGGGCAGCTCTAATAGCAAATGTTGTTATTCACACACTGATTCTCTCCAATTTACACAGAGCTTACCATCACAAAAATGAAACCAGCAATGACTTGCAAGGACTGTGTATCCATCTAATGAGGATCAGATGGGTTGTTCTCCCTCCCCCAGAGCTTCTCGCACCTAAAAAGATTTATGTGGCTGAACGTGTTTGTTCTGATCAATTACCATGTTGCAGATGAGAATACAAATACGAAAGGAAGATTACACTCTTGCGCCAAAGCTCACTGAAGTCAGCAGAAAGGCTCCTGATGTTCACAAAAAGTCTTTGGCTGTAGTTAAAAGGATGAAACTTTTGATCAGCTTTAGTGAACAAAGCGCCTTGCTAGTCTGTGACAATTTTTATACAACTCAGAATTATTTGCCAGCTAATATGTCTTTGCTCTCACTTCTCCTAATGGGAGGATTACCATGTAGTTGTGGAAGGCATGAGTTCAGCGACGATCTGATTTGATGTAGTTGCTTTTCACTCATCCTCCTGTTGACAAGAAACATGTAAGAGAAGCAAAGATGCAGTTTTCAGCTATTTCACTGTCCAGAAACTTGCCACTCGGACTGAACACCAGGAGCAGGCATCTGGTGTGTGTGTGCTGACCAGAAGTCTTTCACCACCAGGGTGTGAGAGGCTGAAAGCTGAAAGCAGCATTTCATAAGTACTTCGGTCTTCAGGGTTGTTGACCTGAGCGTTCATTAAATTAGTACTACTGGAGACATCAAAGAGCTGAGGCGATTTTACCAGCACTCAAACCTCCTTCTTCCCACATCGTCTCCTACACAAAGATGGAAAATCTTGGGCCAACAGTTTTGAGATCTCACGGTGGATACAGGGATATTCCAAAGTGTTGTAGAACTGAGTTTATTTTCTCTGTCTTTAGCCCTGTAACAATCAGGTTCCCAATTCGTATGGGCTGCTTATAGTTAAGTGGGAAAGATCATGTGGAGATGATGATAGACATCTGAGTTAAATAGAGGAACTTAAGAGAAGAGGTGCCTTTTGCACCCATGAAGCAGACCATCTCAGCTCACAGGGAAAGGCATCCAAAGTAGGATTTGGGTCTCAGGGTTTGTGGATTTGCAGCTGCTGCCTGGGTTTTCACAGCATTGCCCAGCTCCCTCTCTGGGCAGGCTTTAAATCGCTTTCCGCAGCTGACGGTCCCTCAAGCCCTGCAGACAGCTCTCTCTTTCCTCGCCGACTGGGCAGAGAACAAAGCAAACACAGCTAAAGAGACAAACAGGGGAAAACATCTGATTTGAAAGGAAAACTGCATGATCTATAGCTTTGAATTCCTGGCTCTGGCTCCTGGTTCTGCCATTGCCTTGTGCAAATCGCATCCCTTTTCTGCCATGCTTTTCTCATCCACAAAATGCGATAAGAATTTTCCTCAAGGATAGCCACAAGGTATCGGGAATTAATTGGTATTAATTGCCCTGGGAGTAAGGTCCATCACAAGTGTGGACAGCCTCCAAAATGGGATCAATTCTGTGATTCTGTGATTTAGTGTTCAGGGGCTCTACCAGTACTCATGTCTCCTGTACTGGGGAAAGCCACCTGTGCTGCACCCTAATGTGCCACTGCTGAGAGATCACCAGCCACTGCTGTGTCACTGCCTCAATAACAGCTCCCATTCTCCCAACTTCATTTCTTATCTTTCTGTAGGAGCCTCAAAGTGCTTTCCTTTCACTGCTGGGATAATACGTTTGGCCTGTGCCTGCCCTGAGGGAATTAGCAGTGAAATTCCCAGTAATTTAATTGTGCGCACAGCTTAGAAGATGCTCATTCATTCAAAAAGGATGGCATCACCAAGAGCACTGATAATGCGTGGGTCCAAGGTCACTGCAGGGTCACTGGTGGGATTCACACAAGTTCTTGGTCGAAACAGGGTTGGGAAATGCCTTCAGATCCTGCCTTTGAAGGGGCTCCACCACCACCATTGTATAGCTACAGTAAAACCATTTCAGCACAAACAGTACTGGGTGCTGAAGCAACATTTGCTCTGCATTTATCTTCATTTTTCTCTCCTGTTTACACGTTGAGCTAAAAAGAATATAGAAAAAAAAAAAAGTGATAAGCTCATTAGGGGCCTTGAGCCTCCACCCCAGGAAATGAGTAAGAATTCTGCCGTAAACTTTTGTGGGTGTCGATGAGCTGCATCACACAGCCACTTCCTTACTAATTGATGTTTGGTTAGGTCAGGGTAGCTGCTGGGGAAATGGGGTTCGTACATTGATGGCAAAGATATTTCTCAAACTGGGGCACAAAGATGGAAGGACAACAATGCCCAGGAAATCTGTCTGTCTTCAGAAACATGTTTGTACTGCTGCTTATTTGCCACATAAACGAGTGGAGAAAAGATAGGAAAAAAACTGAACGCTCTATGGAAGGAAACTGTCTTATTTAGAACAAGGGCTGATCAGCAATTAAGATGTACATAACTGTTGAGAGGAGTGTTTTTCCTGGCTGGGTGCACTTTGTGCTGGTTTCTTTTCTGCTTGGGGTTGTGCTCAGCAATTGCACACAGAGGTCACACAGGAAACTGGACGTGCTCTTGGCTTTCGAGCCAGGACATTCCTCTTCATCGGATGGCTGCAAAGTGCATTTGAAAGCTTGCATGTTTTGGGTGAGTGGAAGTTGTCTTTCGAGTGGCAAGCAGATTTTTTGTGAAATTACTGCATTTGCAAGAAAAGCTTGTCAGGGTTAGTGTTCATCTCTTGTTCAGTTTCTGGATACTGGTCCCCAGGTTAACAGCAGCAGGTACCTGGCACCTAGTAGTGCACTGGTTTTACAGGGAAGCTAAGAACTGACTGAACAGTCACAGCAAATGTCCCTTTTTACTCTTGGGTCTTGTCTCCTGGTGACAAGACTCAGGTATCCATCCAGGGCCATGGGAGGGTGTGGAAGAGACTGAGAAGGACAGGGCATTGCACCAAGCTGGAGACTGTGAGTGATCTTCTCCTCTTACCTCCTCCTCTTAACATTATTCTGTAGGCACTTCAGACCTGAGCTCTGACACTTTGAGTCCCTGTTCCCCCAAGACCTCATGAACTTGGGGTGGAGTTTGATTCTCCCGATCAGCCTCTGGGATGCAGCTGCTCTGAGAGACCCAAGGTTTGATACTGCTCTGATGTCCTCTTTATGCCGTAGGTGGACAGCGGGGGACCTCTGGTTTGCAGCTACTGGAACACCATGAAGTGGTTTCAGGTCGGCATCATCAGCTGGGAAGAAGATTGCACAGAAAAGCCGAGTCACGAGATCTACACTTCTGTTTACAACTACTATGGCTGGATCATGACTGAGACAGCTGTAAGGGGGAAACCTTTCTTCATTGAAGGCGTGGATAACCGTGCAAATGCCAGGGAGGTTCCTTCCAGGGCTCAGGCACAGCTGGTGTTTCTTGACTATTCTCTCCTTTTATTTGCCTCTCTAACAGCAATTAGATTACTCTAGAGAAAATTTTTCAAAACATAATAAAAGTCAGAACTACTGTCTCCTTCTTTTGCTGCTGACCCATAAAGTCATGTCTCAGGTCAGCCTGCTCCATCTCACTGATGTGGACACAGACGCCAAAATGAGACGCCACAGTGAGACAGGGGAGTGATGGAGAGGCTGGAGACCTGAAATGAGAGAGTCAGGACCCAGAAAACAGAGTTCTCAATCCTCTGAAAAACCTGTATTTTTTCAGACTGGTGGGTCACATCAGGCTCAGCCGTTTGCTGAGCTCAGATACAAGGTCAAGGGTGAAGGAGCTGCTCCCCTTGGAAACCTTAAAAAAGGTCTTAGCTCACTCAGCTCCAGATTAGCTTAGCTGTGGGTGGGCTAGGTCTGGGTTAATATATCTTAGAGCTAGCTATTAGCTTGGGCTAATATATCTTCTATCTTGCAGCTGGACCAAACTAAGACTATCTTCAAGAACCACAGCATCTGCTCAGGTGGTATGTCAAGCTGCTGGGACATGACTACATGTCAAATTCAGCCATACACTAGAAAAAGGGCAAGAAAGCTGTTGGACAGTGTTGGAAACCTTAGCTTCATATAACGTCGTTATTTATCTGGGTTGCAAATGGTGGGTTTTGGTTGTTAAAGATACTAGAGAAAGATCTGGCTGGCTGGAGGGAACTGGTTCTGAGCTATCTATGAAATGCTGTCTACAGAAACTCCTTGGTTTGGTAATTAGCCAAGATGAATCCCTTACAAGTAAATGGTAAATCAAAAGCATTTTTTAATTATTATTTTTTTTCTTTCTTTTCCCTCTGCTGGAGACCTGGTTTTTGCATTTCTGGGCTGTGCAGTTCCCAGTCTGAGCCAGGACTGAGCTGGTCCTTGAAGCAATGCCATCCTACACTCTCCAGCAACCAAGTGCATCACAAAAACACTTTCTGCTTTTTACAGTGAGGTTGCTTTTCTTGAATGTGATGGGGAAGGAGGCAAGCGGTAAGGTCTCCTTCATGTCCCACCTTTGCAATGGCATAAAAGTACCTGTAATTGCAGCAACGATAAAACTCAGTGAATGTGCAATGGGACAGAACCTCACAAATTGGTTTTAATTACCTTGATATTTTCTGGCTAGCTGGTGGAGAAGCCTTGTAAATGAGAATTAATTCATCTACCTTAAGCTAATGCAAACCCATCTTGGCATAAAAGTCAGACTTTATTTTCTGTGTTATCTGAGCAGAAAATAATGCTTAATTATTATTAGTTCTGAGTAATGCTTATGAAAATTGCTCCACATTAATTTCACATGGCTGACTGGCTAATGGATGCATAAGGGTCTTGTAACCCTTTGCAAAAAGACTAATAAAAGCTAAAAACAAGGGGAATATATTACTTTAGCAGCTATTAGTAGTAGACAGTGTCTGCTGGCATTAATACCTATATTTATTTTCCTTTCTATTAATAATATATCAACAGATTCTAGAAGCTATGGCAGGGGCTGGACATCAGGAAATATTTCCTAATGCTGCAATCTATTCAGCTACAGAATTGTTTCCCCCAAAGGAAATGAGAGATGTCCTCCCGCTTGAATTATTTTAATGTAGGGATTGTATAAAGCACTCTCGTCTGCAGCACGAGGCATGGAAAAAGCCTGCGCTTACAGGGAACTGCAGAAAGACCCAGTAGGTCTTCTCCATCAGTAGTGTTTGCAAACTGATAATGGTCTGTGTTAAAGGAAGGCAATGCTACTTAGTGGTTACAGCAGGACACTGCTGCTGGGGATTTTGCTCTGTTCTGCTGCTCGTTTGCTGGATGGCCTTGGGGGAATTCACTATGTGCCACGTGCCTCAGTTTCCCCACTTGTAAATTGAGGTAATGAAAGTGTTTCACTTCGCTCTTTGCTTCAGAAACATGAGGTCTGTGAGTAAAGACCAGCCATGTAGCTGTAAAGTTATGAGCAGCAGAGCCTTTTTCCTCCTTACTTAAAACATTAGAGGATTCATTAAAGTGAATTCATCTTAACCACTACATGCACTGTTCAATAATTAGGACAAGAAGGAAATGTTTGCCTAATAATGCTATGCCATATGTAGGTCTGATGAAAACATGTTGACGTATATATTTCTTTTCAAGGTATTTGTGTTTTGAGAGAGCACATCAGCTCTGATTATGGTTTTGATGGGGGTGTGTTGGAGTCACACGACAATCAGAATGCAATATAGCTTTGTCATTAACATTTCAATGTGAGCCATTAATTTTTTAAGTCTTATAACATTTTTGTACCGTGTTTCATATGCTATTGAATTCCTCATTTCTGGGTTTAGATCATCAAAGTGAAAAGTTTCCAAACTGAACCATCTCAGCTTTTATGTTTCAGGCTATCATTTGAGATGTGGATTTTTTATTTGCTGCTCATTTCCTATTGCCCCTTCCCTCTTTCCAGACAACCCTTTCTCATGTCCAGACAGCCTAATGGAGAGCATAGAGTGGGACCAAGCAGTCTGGGCAAAAGAAATGTAACTCTTGCTCAGTGTGCCAGAATAAAACCTGTAGAATAAAAATTATAGAGTTTAGTGATATGGTTTACTGGAGGACTTGTTACTGTTAGGTCAGAGGTTAGGAGTAGGTTGGACTAGGTGATCTTGAAGAAGAGAAGGAGTTATGGGAATGCTTAAAGCTCTGGGGCACCATCTGTTCAAGGATTCAGGGGAAAGAAATAGACAAGAGCATTCACAGGGACAGATAAGAGGTAGAATCATAGAATCATTTAGGCTGGAAAAGACCTGTAAGATCATCAAGTCCAACTCTTAACCTAGCACTGACAAGGATATCACTTAACCAGGTAGTCAGAGCCTGCTTGCAATTTTTGTTAAGGAGGGAGTACCAAAGGCATCAATTTAGAAGTCCATATACAAAAATATTTTTTTCTCTGTATATATGTGTGTATTTCCTTGCTTGCCCCATCCCAGTCAACTATTTGCATGAAAGTTTGAGCACAGAGATGGAAGGATTGAAGCTGATGGTGCAAGTTAAGTGGTGATAGCTGGTTGCAGATAGGTACTGAGGAGGACTGCAAGTAGGGAGAATTTGTGTGTCTCCACAATGAAAAATGAGGGTTGGAAAAGCATCAGTTCAAGGTTTCAGAAGTCACTGTAGAAGTCACTACAGAAATCCAACCTTTATTCAGGGCAATGCCCCCAAAGCTCTCTCTCCAGGTTCATCCTCGGTAGATATAACATAGATGTTCTGAGGGCAAAGCAGCCCCACTGTGATCCTTATAGGGGAACTGAGGTTTCCTATTTTCCTCTTCTCCTGCCTGTGCTTCCTCTCAGGGTTATGATGCAATGCAAAGCACAGACTTGTCTTCTCCTGCTCCCTTTAGCATCCCAGGCAGCTCTCTGTCCCTCTGATGGGAGAGAATTGCATGGGCACATGGCACACATGGCTGTGACTGTGACCGCTGGCATCCATTTGTCCATTTTAAATGCACTTCATGAAGTGTTTTGACTTGGTGTATGCATCTAGCTGCCTGACTTCAATTCAAGCAAAATAGCCATTGCATAAGTGGAGTTATGATAAGAGGGCTTATTTCTCTCCTATGTAAGAAAGAGTTTTGTGTGCCTGGCAGGCAATGACTGAAAAAGCACCTGTGGTTGTGGTAAAATTACTGGTCTGCTCTTTAATTGTGACTTCTGTTGGTAATACAGTAGATTAGAGCTGCAGAGTGGAGGATAGAGAGGATCAGCATCAGTTCCCACATTGACCACATCCTAAGTGGCCTTTTGGACAAGTCTTTTTTCAAACTAGGGACTCAGTTTACCCAGCTGTAAACAGGAGAATAATTAAAAGCCAGGGGTATCTTTTAAAACACCAATTGTGACAGTGATTAATCACTGTTATTAACTAAAGTGAAGATGTGGGACAGCAAACACTACTGAATAGTACTGGACTACCTGAGGTGTTCAACAACCACAGTAAACCTTTAGTGTTAAACTAAAGACTTTCTTTAAGTAGGTGGATCGAGGTCTGGAGGAGAGCTTGAATTGAGGATTAGTACAGGCTGGAATTTGACAGTCCTAGTTACACCTAATTAAGCCAAAGACATCCCTAAATCCAACCCAGAAATAAAACCTTGCCTTTCCCTACAATGAGGGAATGCTCAAGTCTGATAGATCTGTGCTGAGCAGCGCCCATGGTTTGCATGATGGCTGTGCTTGCTGACCTTGAAGAAACACCTATTCTGCCTGGAGGATTTTGCCCAGTTGCTATATTTCCTCTTTAATCACTCCATTGCCAGGGAAATCCCTCTGTTCTTGGCAAATCTGGCAGTCCCAGTCACACTGCTGATTAGTGGCTTGACTAAGGCATGCTTGAACTGCCCCTGAACTTCAACAGCCCTGGCTTGACTACCTCTGGGCAGGTCATATGCCTTCGTTGTTCTGACACTGCTGTGCACAGCTCCTGGTGCCTAGGAGGGACTACAAATGAACCAGCCAGCAGCAGCTGAGTTCACGAAGTCCCACACCATCATGCAATATCCTGCAATATCCATCATGTAATTTCCTACTGTCTGGGTTCAAAGTATCTGCATCCCATGTTCTTCTCTCAGAGGTGTCTTGCGCACGCTATCACTTTTTGTATTCAGCAACTAGTTGCTTTCTGCATGTCTCATCATGACTCATTGCTACGAGGGCTTTTTAATATGCAATGCGTTTTGCTCCCGCAGCCCAGACCACTAAATGATTTAGCATGTGACTGCAGAGGAGAGCATTGTGCCTGACTCCTCTGCTGGGAAGGGTGGGCTTCAAGGTACCACTGGGAAGTACAAGTTCATCTTTCTCAAGGCTTTTGAATTCATGACATGTATTAACACTAACTGCAGACATTAGTCACAACAAAAGCAACTCCAGACCTACCTCACCTGCCTCCAAATGAGGGAAATGGGGAGGAGAGGAGGATCTGATGGCTTAGGCACAGAATGCAGACACAGGGGCACAAATTCAGCTCTAGGATCCTGTGAGATCCTAGAGGAGCTCTGTGGGGTGCAGCTGAAGAGCATGAGCTCTTGAAACTTGAATCCATCAGTTGTGAGCCATCTGAAATTCCTCTGGAGAGCTATTCAGAGAGGAAGGCTTTGGGTTTTATCCTCTTTTCTTGAGCATGGTG